TTTGAGACAAAATTCAATATTGATTTTCCTTAAGACACAAAATATATTAAAATTTTCATTTTATAACAATTTTGTGAATCAATAATTTGTGTTCAAAAATAGCTTATAATCTCTATATATAAACGTATAACTCATTGGAAATAAGCGTTTGTAACAAAATATGCAATTATTTTTAGACTAACCACTAGTTTGTGTACGAATTGAATGGTAGATATATTTTAAGCAACATTTTTAACGATTTTATGCAAAATAGATTATACATTATATTTATAGTGATATCTCTATTATTGCATAATTAATAGTATAATTAAATACTCCATAAGAATATACAGAATATAGAATATTTTTGAGCACAAACTTCAGTATTGAATGTGAAATACAATAGTAAAGTAAAAATCAATTTCTTGTCTCAATTCACTCCCAAATGTCACATGAATTTCAATTAAATGCACAAATCATTGTCATTCAAATACATGATTGTTATACACATATGTATACAGATTTAAATACATTTCACTCATAATCATGAATACTAATCACTATTATCTCATTTAATTCATGAATTTTAATCCTATTTATACACAAGAATTATATCATAAAGACTGAAAAATATAGGAATTGATTGCAAAACTATTGCCGTTTTGTTGTGTGATATCCTGTAATTAGAAATTGAATATAAAATTTATATATATTTACACACTTTTAGATGCTATCAAAACAATACATTTTTATTATTTTTAATTAACTGCAAGTCCGTAACAATATGTCATAAAACCATTTGTCAGGTTGACGTCAGTGATGATAAAATTGTTATAATTTATATGTTATACACTTTAAATGCATTTTAGTTTTTAGTCTATATTTATAATTTACAAATGACTCGATTTATGTCCAAACTTAAGGCTAGATATTTGAAGATTATATTATTTGTGTTAATTTCACTGATATTTGTGTTTTTATATAATGACAATCGCGACGAACGGGTATTCTTTGACGAGAATTACTTACAAATGGGGGGTTCGCTGAACGCCGATCGGGTCTGTCATCTGCCCATTCATGTCAATCCTTTCGATGAAAGTGTGGCTAAATATATGAAAAAGTTGCCAAAGAGTATTGAATGTCATTATGAATCGGATCCCAAGAATAATCTCACTTTCATCGATGGCGCGGGAATTCTTCGCCAGACATTAGGCTATTATAGGTGTAAATATCAGTTGTTTGATAGACTCAAAGGCAATGACAATCAAATAACTTATAAACCAATGAAACAGTTGGACCCGAAGAATGGTTTTCCAATGGGAGACAACAGTTTTGTGTTCGTTGTGTGCGAAGAGATGGCCGGCCGAAGGGTCTACGAAAATACTCACTTTTGGTTCCCATTGACTCCGAACCACAATTATAACACTTCGGTCGATATCAGCGATAGGCCGTCGGTATTGGTGTTAGTGATTGAATCGCTTTCTCGCGTCAATTACTTGCGATTTATGCGACAAACGAGAGACTCAATGGAAAAGATGGGAAAAGTAGTGTATATGAAAGGGTTAACCAAATTAGCGGACAATTCGTTCCCAAATATGGTCCCATTTTTGACGGGAAGACGTGTTTGGAATAACGAACTCACGAACGAAGACTTCGGTCCTTACGATGATTGGCCTTTCGTTTGGAAAGACTTCTCAAAAGCTGGTTATAAGACAGCACTCATTGAAGACTTTCCGACGTTTACTCTATTTAACTACGAGTCCAAAGGATTCGTGGAAAAGCCCGTGGATTGGTATCCGCGACCCTTTTGGATACACCTCTTTAGAGACGTCTCCAAAATATTGTTAGGATTAATACCCTTTGAATTGAGTAACTGTTATATCGATCGCTTTCCCAAAATCAATCTATTTCTGGAGCAAATCAAGCATTTCATCCACGAATGCCAAACAAAACACTTCCCATATTTTGCGTTCACTTTTTACATCGAAGTCACACACAATGACTTCAATAGAGTACAACTCATTGATTCACACGTTTCGCATTTCTTTGAACAGATGAAGAATCAATTAAATGATACGATTGTTATATTAATGGTAATAAAAATGATTGACTAATATTTTTATTACTTGATTTGTTAACTGATTGTTGAATGTGTCGAATAGGGAGATCACGGCAACAGATTTGGACCCCTATTGCAGACAGTGATCGGCAGAATTGAAGAACGAATGCCTTTGTTTGGGGTTAGAATTCC